CTCTATACTTTCCTATACCAACATTTGTTCCCCCTCTTTTTATGTTATCTGAAATCTCAATCTATATAAATAAAAAATGTAATGTTGGTTTGTGGGATTAACAGAACTCAAAAACCACTGGACGAATTGACACCAAATTTGGACACAAGACACCTAACAACCCAATGTATGTCCTTCACTAAAAAAATGATTTTTTTCATTTGGGAGTTGTAGTTGCTGGGATTTATAGTTCACCTACAATCAAAGAGCATTCTGAACCCCACCAATGATGGAATTGAACCAAACTTGGCACACAGTTCTCCCATGAGCAACAAAAAACACTGGAAGGGTTTGGTGGGCCGTGTCCTTTGGTTTTGGAGTTGGAGAAGCCCAAGGATGACATTTTGGCTGTTATTGCTTTTTCCCATATGGACTGAAAGTCATCGGACATAGTAAGAGGTACAATGCCAAGGGGAGAGAGCCAATAGTTCAGTATAACCACCCACACCCTGGCCTCAATTCTCAAGAAGCCAGTCTCCAGACTTAGGGTGGAGTTGGAGACACACCTTGGTACCTGGAGGGCTGATCTTAAGAATTTGGATTGTACACTCTCAAATGGGGCAAAGTCAGAAAAGGGGCCTAACTGGGCACTGTATAGGAGTTGTGCAACTGGCTTGGCATCAAATAGTTTGAGTGCCGCAGGTATGTAGTGTCCCCCTCTTGACCTGAGATATTTTAATACAGCAGATGAGCTCTTTGTGCAATTCCAGCCACATGGTCTCCATGGACTTTTCTGCTGCTGCAAGAATAGAGGACTATTATTTATTTATTTACTTACTTACTTTATTTATATACCGCTTTTCTCAGTCCTCAGGCGACTCAAAGCATCAATACAAAAACATCACAAGACAAGTATAGGACAGTTAATGTCAGGATAATTGCAAATATTATATGTATGTTTTTCAATGTGTTAATAATGTAATTCAAGATGGTTTCAGTCATGTTCATTTTTGTTCATTTGTGTAGTAGATTATTATTGTTATGGGCTAGAGAGTTGAGACCTTGGCTAAAGTTAGATAAGACTTTTCGTGAGAAGAAAAGGGAGTTAACCAGCTAGAAGACAGATAAGGCAGAGGGCAGATGTTTCTTTGTCTGTGTGTTTAGTCCTGTACTTTGTCCGTCGCCATCTTTCATCATCAATATGTAGTCGCCTGTAAATAGATGCTTCCAGTAAAGCTTATTATATTTTGAAACAGAAGAAGAATGCTGTGTGGTAATTGAGTCTGTGTGTTTTGGAAATCTCACGTTCGCTGTGCCAGACCGGAGGGTCTCACTCTGACAGTTAAAACAATTGTAACATAAACAATTAAGCATCAATATCCCCAGATATCCCCAGATATTTGAAATATAATATGCTCTATTTTATTGGAATTGGATCAACACTGCCATTGCACCCTTTTTGGGTGGGGGAAGGGGCCCAGTGCAGATACGTAATGAGATGGAAACCAGGAACTCTATGCCTCCTTTAGATCTCCGGCATTTTGCCCCGGCTCGACCCTCACTGTATGTGAATGGAATTTGCTTAATGTCAGTTCTTCTACTGTCCATGTTTCCTGGAGTGAGAAAGGAGGTGAGGAGAACTGATTTCCTTATGAAATGAACTCTTTCTGCATCAGGGGAGAATCAATCTGGGTTATTGGATTGCTTAGATGTGATTAATATTGTTCCTTACTGTCTGAGATTTGGAGGATCTCCACAAGGGCACTGTCATCCCTATCAAAGGTCCTCGCATTAGGGTTGCCTGTTGTCTTCCTGCAGCTATTTTCCATGGGTGAGGGGCTCAACAAAGTAGTAGTAAGGGTCTCATTGGGTCTCAATTTTGCCAATTACATTCAATGATTGAGTAATCGTATTTTTGAACTGGTCTATTTTGTTTCCCAGTTTATTGAGTTCTGTCTGAGTATTGGAATTAAGTGTTCTTGTTTGAGTGAGTTGAGTTGTGGACTTGTAATTGGTGTTGTGTAGCTGGAGGGTCATGCACTCTACCAGATATAAGTTCTCGAATCCACATGTCACAGAAGACTGTAGTAATAGCAATGGAGTGTCTGCTCCAAAGGAAGTCCTTCAGGTGCAACAGGCAGCTGGGGATTGAGGCATTACCAAAGATGAGAATGTTGAACTTGGGACTTATTGAACCATCTAGTAGTCCTTGGTCATCCGTAGTACTAGTACTTAAGCCAGATAATACCATGAGGTTTTGTGTAGACTATCACAGGTTAAATCAGCTAACAACCTCGGATGTCTATCCAGTGCCAAGGATAGACGAGCTGATAAAAACCATAGGGTCAGCTAGGTACTTTACCACCTTGGATTTGACCAAAGGGTACTGGCAGGTAGCCATGCACCCTGAGGACTGAGGGAAGACCGCTTTTGTAACCCAGGATGGGCTATTCCATTTCAATGTGCTTGCGTTTGGCCTTTAAAATGCACCTGCCACATTCCAACGCTTGATTGACAGGATGCTTACAGGTATGAGACGGTTTGTCCAAGCTTACATCTATGACTTTGCGATATTCAGTAAGACCTGGGCAGAGCACCTCGAGCATCTTGCGAAGGTGCTAGGAAAGATCCAGGATGCTGGCCTAACAGTAAAGGCTTCAAAATGTCAGGTGGCCAGATCTCAGGTTAAATACCTAGGGCACATTGTCAGAAGTAGAACAATCTTACCTGATTTAGACAAGGTGCAGGCCATAAAGGACTGGCCTAAGCCACACACTAAGAAACAATTAAGATCTTTCTTAGGTGTAGTGGGATTCTATAGACGATTTATCCCAGACTTCAGTACCTTAGCTGCAGCACTGACAGATGGTACTAAAAAGTCAACACCTGACAAGATTGTTTGGACACCGGAGTGTGAAGCATCCTATGAGATTCCGAGAAGGGCTTTTATAACCACACTGGTACTGAGAGCACCTGACTTTAGTAAGCAGTTTGTGTTAACTACTGACGCCTCTAAGGTGGGACTGGGAGCAATTCTCAGCCAGGAAATGGTGATTTCCAGCCTGTTCTTTACTTAAGTAAGAAACTCCTAGAGAGAGAATATCACTTTTTGGTCATTGAGAGAGAATTTCTAGCGATGGTTTGGGCCACCACAAAGTTAAAACCTTACCTGTGAGGGAGAAAATTCACACTATGCACAGATCATTCACCATTAAGGTGGTTACATCAGGTAAAGAGTACAAACAGTAAATTAATTTGATGGAGTTTAACACTCCAGGATTTTGATTTTGATGTTCATAGAATCAACACATCAAAGGTATGCAAAATATAGTTGCTGATGCATTATCACGAATAATTGCATAAGGTATTCAGGTAAACCTAGGATAATTGAAAGAGTGAAAGTAAAAGGTAATGTATGTAATGTATAAGGTAATGTTTGAAATGTTTAACCTGTTTTATTGCAGATATATGAAATGTATTTTGACATTGCCCTAATGAATTGTATATATTCATGCAATATTTTTTTTTGTATAAATGCATTGCTAGAACTTGCCTAAGGTTTAAAGACAATGTTTGGCCTAAATGCATTGTACTGAAATGTGACAAGAACCTGTGATTTGCAATAGGCATTGTGTAATTTGCAAAGTCACTGTGTAGGTATAGAATGTTTATATTGATTGTTTACAATAGGTTAGAAACTACAATAGGTAAGTTAGGAAAGGGGGACATTTGGGGTAGATAGCGTAACACTAGCCCTTTGCCTCCAAAAAGGAGTAAAACGCCTCTTTATCCAGAAAGGTTTCTTAGGCCAGGGAGGTAATGTTATGAATCTTACCTGGTAGGCCAGAAATGGAAGTCTGGATAACAGTAAGGCAGGACTCCATTTTGGGAGGCAATGCCAGGGAGGCAGCCATCATGAGTGAGGATAGTTGGAAGAGGGGAGGAGTTGGCAGACTCCTAGGATTGGTCCGAGCAGTTGGGAGGAGCCAAGTCGGAGGGAAAGAATGTAGCTTCAGGGGGTTTTAAAACTGAGTTTTTTGTTTGTTTGGGGGTTTTTTTGGAAGGAGAGCTAGGTGAGAGAATGTCTGTGTTAGACAGTCCTGTGAGCTGACAGGGAAAAGGTCAGACAGCAGTCTGATCTCTTGTGAGAGTTAGCACAAGAGATTGGCTCTCCAGGCTGGGTTGGTTAATAGGAAGAATTCTAGGGTAGAGTTAGTTAATAACCCAGGGGCTGCCTAGATAGGCTAGTCAGACTCATCACTATTCTCTGAAATTGAGCGAGGTTTTTGTTACCAACAGTTAGTTCTGTTTGGTTAGCTCTGTCTAGGACAAAGTGAAGAGAACTGTTCAAGCAACCAATCAAGCTGTTCAAGCAACCAATCACTTCACCATAACACATATCCATCATCGTTTCACGATCATATTGGAGGCACAAGGGTGGGATTTTTTTAAAGGAAAGGAAAACCTCTGGGAAGATCCATCCTGCCCGGACATAATATTAATAAGTCTCCAGCCTCACGTCGTTTGTTATAACAGGTTATAAGTATTGTTATTATAATTATAATTATTATATTTATACCCTGCTTTTTCTTGCCAAAGGGAGATAAATATTAGAAGGAATCTCCCTTTCTTCTATCATTCATTCTTTTTGTTTACCAACCCTTTCGTTTCCTTTACTTTTTTCTTTCTGGATTCATTCCCTTCTTGTTTAAGAATCAGTGATTGCCTTTGTTGGCATCTGTGTATGTGCTTGAGACCCTGATGTCTGCATTTCTTGGTATTCCAATTTTCAACATGACCTATTAAGGGAAAGGAGGAAAAGCTTGCAGGTAAAGAAGATTTCTGGCTTTCATCACTGATCTTTTGCTTCTTTCTTCCCCAGGGAAGGATTCTATGGAGCACGTCTTGGGTGCAGTAAGGGAACCAGTAATATAAGAAGAAGAAGAAACAATCTCAATGTGATGATATTGCTGAATTCATGGCTTCACTTATAGATAAAAAAGTGGGGGGGGGGAGGGGGAAGCTAAGGATCTGTATTGCAATTCAACACCCATATGAATATTGACATGGAGGGGAAAGCATTTAAATGCCTGGAGTGCGGAAAGAGTTTTCCTCGGAGGGATCATCTGCAGCAACATGAAAGGATTCACACTGGGGAGAAGCCCTATAAATGCCTGGAGTGTGGAAAGAGCTTCACTTATAATTCAGGTCTGCGTTCACATCAAATGACTCACACTGGGGAGAAACCCTATAAATGCCTGGAGTGTGGACAGAGCTTCTCTCACAGTTCAAGTCTACGTTCACATGAACGAACGCACACTGGGGACAAGCCCTATACATGCCTGAAGTGTGGACAGAGCTTCTCTCAGAGTTCAACTCTGCGTTCTCATCAAAGGACACACACTGGGGACAAGCCCTATACATGCCTGGAATGTGGACAGAACTTTTCACAGCATGCACATCTACGTTCGCATCAACGGACTCACAGTGGGGAAAAACCCTATAAATGTTTGGAGTGTGGACAGAGCTTCACTCAGAATTCACATCTATGGAAGCATCAAAGGATTCACACTGAGGAGAAACCCTATAAATGCTTGGAGCTTCAGTGAGAATTCACATCTACGTTCGCATCAAAGGACTCACACTGGGGAAAAGCCGTATAAGTGCCTTAAGTGTGGACAGAGCTTCACTGATAATTCAGGTCTACATGTGCATCAAAGGACTCACACTGGAGAGAAACACTATACATGCCTGAAGTGTGGACGGAGGTTCACTCATAATTCAAGTCTGCATTTACATCAAAGGACTCACACAGGGAGAAACCCTATAAATGCCTGGAGTGTGGAAAGAGCTTCACTGATAATTCAAGTCTACAAATCTTCAAGCCTTTTTTTTTTAACCTTTTTCAGTCAGTCAGTCGCCTTTATTTCGGTCAACAAACCATCGGCTAAGTCAAGTGAAAGTAGAATAATGTAATACAACCTTTAAGTAATTAATAACCACATTTGGCTTATAATTAATGAAAACAAGTATCACCATCTCTATCGATTGAATGACTATCTTTATAATCTAAAACAGAAACTGATTGCCAATTAATAATAAGTCTCCTGAGTACTCTTTGTTATACTCTTAGCGTTTGCAGGTTATTCACAAAGCACTTGCGGCTTTTTGCCGCTGCAAAGAGAAATTTGGCCACCTGTTCCGTTTCCCTTTTGTCAAGATCAGACAGTAAATAAATGCAGTACCAACTTAGGGTTCTTCCTGGCCACTTGGTGAGTAAAGGGGATATTAACCTTAGTCTATCATCCTTGTAAACTGTGCAAATAAAAAGTACATGTATTACAGTTTCAATTTTACCCTCCTCGCAAGGGCAAACTCTATGATCATAATCAGTCCGTTTGTATCTACCCTCTAGTATGACCAATTTGAGGGCATTAAATCTGGCCCAACTGAAAGCAAGACGAAATTTTGGGATGTTTAAATTTTCTAGGTATTTGGCACCTCCCAAAGAATTAAATGTTAGACCTAAAGTCAATGGAGAGCATGCGGAGCGTGCCAGAGTAATTCAGTCCTGTTTGTCTATGTCACTGATTCGTTCCGCTAAGATCTGTATTCTCTTTTTATGCTCAAAACCGCTCAATATGTTCTCTGAGAGGCCCATCTGCCTGAGTTTCTGATTTGACGCTTTGATTTGGTGGGATTTAAAGAGGTCTTTTTGAATCAGATATGTGTATCCCGCTTCAGGCCCTTTGTGCACCCTCTCCATCCAATATCCTAGGGCCCTTCTCCAAGCCAGTGATTCGAGTGAGGCTGTACCTGATTCCAGTCTTAAAACAGCAGATGGAACACAATTGGGGACAGCAAACAGTTTTCTGAGCAACCCTGATTGAACTTGTTCTACTTCAGATGTGAAGCCTGTGATCCATACCGGAATTGGGTATAATAATTGGCCTGTTACCTTTGCTTGGAAGACCTTTGTTGCAACTGGTATATACTGGCCGCCTTTGGTGTAAAAAAAGTGAATTATTGCTTTACTACTGGATAGGGCATTTTGTACTGCCATTTTTTGGTGGCATCTGCAGGTACCTGAGGCTTGGAAGGTAACTCCTAGATATTTAAAACTGGAAACTTGTTCAATTAAGTTCTTTCCTATGTACCAGTTATGCCTGGCTCGCTTTTTTGAGAAGACCATGATTTTGATTTTACTATAGTTTATCTTTAGCTGGTTTTTCTCACAGTATTGGTGGAATGCACTCAGCAATCGCTTGAGTCCTACCTTGGTGTAGGATATGAGGGCAGCATCATCTGCATACAACAATAGGGGTATATTGGTGATGAGATTTTAGGGGGATGTCCATTTGGTAGTGAAACATGGGTGGCCAGGTCATTCAGATATAGGTTAAACAGAATAAGGGCCAGGATGCACCCCTGGCGCACCCCCCTTGTTCTGTCGCTGCTGGAGCCAAAATGAGGTGCTTTTAAGAGAGGATGTTAGGCTTGCATCCAGCGGGAAACCAGGGCCCCCGAAAAGAAGCCTTTAGGGGATCTCCCTTATTAAGCAGTCTTTATGAGGCTTGAGAAATATAACAGTTCTTTATTAATGAACAAACAGGCTTAACAGTCTATTAGATCTTGCAATCTTGTTTACAGGAAACAGGCGCTATCTTCAAAAACTTTGTTAAAAGGAAAATTCCCCCTTTCTAGCTCCTCCCAGGCTGCTGTGAACCTAAACCTTATTGATGTGGATTCACTACCGGGCTGAACTACGTCTCAACGCCGAGCGAACCTATCAAAAGGCTTGTAATCACTTAGCTGCTTTGATGGTTTGAGCTGTGATTCCCTCCGGAATTCCTCAGGGCTGTAAGGCTGTTTCCCTGGGACCTTTGGGAATCTTCAGAGGCTCTCAAGACTGTTCTCCCCCGGAAAGTCTTAAGGTACAAAGCCTTTGTACAGGAGGACGTCTGTATACATCCTCTGCATAGACTTCCTTTTTGAGACTGATTGAAAAATGGCCCTTCCCTACAAAAAACCCAGAGAGGGGCGGGACCAGGGAACCTAACTGTTATTGACGGGTCGCTTGTCCTATGAATGCAAATTATAACAGGAAGCCACCCTGCTGCAAAATCCCTGCAACTTAGGACAATGAACAAACACTCAGTGCAAAGCACAAAATTGGAGCCCCTGGAACAGCCATTCCAGAACACCTCTATTTACTGCTATTGGTTTTGAGAGGTTGCCTTGTACTCCACATCTTACTTGTGTTGAAGTGTTTGAATATAAGCTCTTAATTGACCAGAGCAATCTTTTGTCAGTTGTGGTCTTCTGTAGTTTTTGCCATAGCAAATTTCTTGGAATAGAGTCAAAGGCAGCTTTTAGATCTGTAAACGCGGTAAATAGTCGTTTGTAGGTAGGGGCTTGGTATTTTTCTGCTAGGTGGCTTAACACGATAGAATGGTCTATTGTAGACCTCCCTTTTCTAAAAACTGCCTGTTCTTCGCCTGTTACTTTTTCTGAGTCTAACCAGTCTAGAAGCTTGCTATATAAATGGCGAGCATAAAGTTTGCCCACCACTGAGAGTAAACTGATGGGCCGGTAATTCCCTGGATCGTTTTTATCCCCTTTTTTAAATATCGGGATTAGAGTACATAGTGAGAGCTGGACCTTAGGGAAGGCTGAGCGAAGGAAGATCGATGCTTTTGAACTGTGGTGTTGGAGGAAAGTGCTGAGAGTGCCTTGGACTGCGAGAAGATCCAACCAGTCCATCCTCCAGGAAATAAAGCCCGACTGCTCATTGGAGGGAAAGATACTAGAGACAAAGTTGAAGTACTTTGGCCACATCATGAGGAGACAGCAAAGCCTAGAGAAGACAATTATGCTGGGGAAAGTGGAAGGCAAAAGGAAGAGGGGCCGACCAAGGGCAAGATGGATGGATGGCATCCTTGAAGTGACTGGACTGACCTTGAGGGAGCTGGGGGTGGTAACGGCCGACAGGGAGCTCTGGCGTGGGCTGGTCCATGAGGTCACGAAGAGTCGGAGACGACTGAACGAATGAACAACAACAACAACATGAGGCAGGAATTAAGGCTGTGCGGTTGATGTGTGTGAAGAGGGGAGCTAACCTTTTTCAAAAAACCCAGTAACCCAATGTACTTAGCCTCTATTAGTACTACTTCACCTTCCACAGGTGGCTTGATTGTTGCTGGTCATACAATGATTGGACATGATTCTTACAATCACTTACCCATTTTTCACTTTAGAAATGATCTAATCAATATAAAACTCTGACATACTCGGGAGAAATCCTATAACTGCCTGGAGTGTGGACAGATCTTCACTCATCGTTCAGGTCTACGTTCACATCAAGGTCTACGTTCCGGTTCCGGTTTGATGGTGGAGAGGCAGTAAGGACCCTATGATCGCTCTGGAAGGGAGCTCAATCCACCTGAATCCTCCGACTGAAAGCCTCCTCAGAAACTCTGAACATCATCCGACTGACTAGGAACTCGGAGGAGTCTCTAGGAGATTGGATTGTTGCAACTTCAGCAGGAGAAACGAGGAGAAAACGGGGTAGATAGAGAGGTGAGGTGCCGCCATTCCAACATGGCTGACTCCCTCCCCTTCCCTTCCCTTCCCTTGCAAGAACTGAGCTAACTATTGTCCTGTTCTCGCCGTCACTGATCTTGAATGCTGCTGATGCTGCCTATAACTATTCATTTCCATCTGCCCATCTTACTTTGAGGCACTTACCATCTAAAAGGAGCTTACTTTTCCATCTAAGCGGCTGGGAGCCAGTCATCGCCCCACCGGATAGAGACTTTGTCCTCAGATTGTCCAGCAGACCAGCCACGAGCAAAAAAATCTGCAGCACCTGCTGGCCTGGATCCATCCTATCTTCGGGGCGCCTCTCAAGCTCTCCGCTTGGTAGAGACCTCAGAGATCATGGAGACGCTGCCGCCGGAGGGCTGGCGGGGAGCACCATAATTGGTGTTACCCTGCACCATCGCTAGAGGCTTGGCGGGAGGCGTCGCCACTGGAGAGCTGCTGTTGCTGCTACTGCCACAGCCAGAGAACGGCTGCTACCACCACCCCAGTGGACTCTGAGGGAACATTGCTGCCGGAAAACGCTGCTGTGAGTGGAGCTGTGTCTTCAATTCTGCTGTTGCTGTGGAGGGTGCTGGAGTAGTTTTTGTGAGTCTGCTGCTGATATGGCCATCCTTTCTTCTGTTGCTGATCCAGACGACCCTGAGACCCAGGTTGCTTTTCTCCAGAAACAACAATCGCCATTTTGGAGGCTTGCCAGCGTCTTAATCATTGCTGAGTCACCAGTTGGTGGTTCAGCTGGCTTCTTAAGGTTGGGAGCCTCCATCCCACGACTGTCTTAGTGATCTATTATTATTATTATTATTATTATTATTATTATTATTATTATTATTAACTTTATTTATACCCCGCAAAATCTCCCAAAGGACTCGATGTGGCTTACAAAGGCCGAGGCCTCTGACAACAACAACATACAATACACAGTAAAACTCATAAGCAAAACTTCCTTCCCACCTTCCCATCTTTCTTCTCCATCTTCCTCCCTACTTCTCTCCTTCCTTCTTCTTTCCTTTTCCTTCCTTCCTTCACTTCTTTTTTCCTTCCCTCTTTCCTTCCTCTTCCCTCCCTCCTTTCTTCCTTCCTTCCCTCCCTCCT